TTTTCATTCGGCCATGTCACCAAGCTAGTTTGCTGTCTCTATTAAGTAGCTGTCAGTTATTCACTCACTCTACAGCAGGGAACAACACTTCTAAATAAAAGCTCTGAATGGGAAATTNCAGATTTTTGTCTTAATAACTGAATTTTTTACAGTGGTTTCAAATCTGCCTTTCCGTGCACGGATGGCTGCTTTCCTACACAACAGTGAATGGCTTACTCAATTTGTGAAGCCACTGTTGAGTTGCTACTTGCCAATTAGCTCAGAGTGGTATATGACTGTTTTAGGTTCCTGAGGTTGCAGGTTCAAGTCTCAACTGGTGCAGAATCCACATTGTAATGTAATCCTCTTCTTGTGCTCCAGCTTATTGCTTAAAATTGCCTGAGCGTGACTGATCACTGTGCAGCATCTTCAAGTCTTTTTTCTGCTAGAAAATCTGCCTTCTCATGCTTGAAAATAAACCAAACTTTGCATAAAGATCCAGTGTCAATACTTCAGTGTTAAACCATCTGAAGCTTCTCACTTTGCACATAGCTCAACTAGTTAAACATCAGTTTTTCACTCATGAAGCAGATCAATCATTGTTAAAATAAATTACCAACATCTCCATACTGTGTAGATGCAATATGTGTATTTTCAGATTTTTGTTTTTGAAATCTGCCTTTCCATGCATGGATGGCTGCTAAACCTGCACATCTGGCTTAGTCAATTTGTGAAGCTACACATGAACTATCACTGACTAATTAGCTCAGTGAGATAGAAATTGATTCTTAGTCTCAGAGGTTGTGAGTTCAAGCCTCAGCTGATGCAAAGGGCAGATTGTGTTGCTAAATTCCTAAATGTCTTCCAATTCTTCTGCTTGTTGCTCAGAATTGCCTAAAAATGCCCGGACCCGACCCATCGCTGCACACCAGCTATAATTTTATTTTGTCATTTGTGACATTTCGTGCACGCAGGCTCTTCCTCAGACTTGTTCTGAGGAAGAGCCTACCTGCTTGAAAGCTAGCCTGTGTGCTCGAAACGTCACGAATGACAAAATAAAATTATAAAGTAATGGGAGCTCTATTTGGTGTGCGGATCATCTTTTTCTTTTTCGTCTTCACTTGAGTTTTTTGATCCAGCACCCAATTGAAATTTTCTTTGGGATGTGCATGTCACCACCTCTTTATTATGATCACTGATCCACTTGGACGGAAAAAGACTGTAGGAATATGACAGCATTAGTTTATTAAGGAATCATGGACGCTGAGGTTCAGGAAAGGCTGAAAAGCAATCATTAGACATGCCTATAAAACAAATGTTTGTTTAACGAGAAATAAATGTATAAAAACTTCTAAAAATTGTAATCCAAATACATGTCAAATTGCATTGATATCTATCCACAGGATCTTTGGTTTTCTAACCCCTAAAAAGAGGTGTGTTCTTGACATTTTGTAAAGTACCTGTATGTGCCAGTCTGGTCTACTGGCAATGGGCCTATGCAGCTAGTTGTCTAATTTGTAAGCAAGCGCTAGCAGTTTGCTTATCTGCAAATGCCTGGAAGATGCATATCTCATCATGTATAGTTGTATCGCTATATAGGCTAGTCCTGCTTTAAACTAGTTAAATAAAAATAGTTATTGCAATGGGGTAAAATATTATGGAAAAGTTATGGAAACGTTTTGAAAATGTATTGGTAAATATGTTTAAGAACCCTGAGTTTGACCAAATATGCATTCATTTGGGAAGTGAGCATAAGAGTGGATAAATGAGCTTTCACCAGATGTGGGACCAAGTCATGTTTTACAAGTTACAAATAAGTCTTAAATCTTTGCACTCAAGTCCAAAGTCAAGACTTGCTTTTCACCAAATGTAATACCATTTTAACCATGGAGTAAAAACATTAGCTGCGCATTAGCTTGCTATGTTAACTTTAGCCTCAGCTAACACATGTTTTGACTACTCTAATTTGTTTTTGTTTTTTTGTGGATTGCTACAAAGATTTAGTACCAAAAGAAGCTATCTTTGGTATAATTTTTCCCAAATGGTGCTCAGTAACATTACCTTTGTTCTTCATGGTTCTCTCCTGTAACGTGATTGGATTTCAAAGATTTATAATCTATATTATCTGAAAACTAAAACAACTGGTGCCCATAAAGCAGGGGAGGGCTATAAGAAGATAGCAAAGTGTTTTCAGGTAGCTAATTCCTCAGTTTGTAATGTAATTATAAATGGCAGTTAACAGGAACTGTGGAGGTCAAGTTGAGGTCTGGAAGACCAAGAAAAATTTTTGCTTGTAGGATTCCTAGAAAGGCAAATGAAAACCCCCCGTTTGACTGGAAAAGACACACAGATTTATCAGACTCCGGAGTGGTAGTGCACTGTTCTACTGTGCAGGGACACTTGTACAAATACAACCTCCATAATAGAAGAGTCTTTAGAAAAAAAACTTTCCTGTGTCCTAACCACAAAAAAACAAACCTCAGCATCGGAAGTTTGCAAAGGAACATCTAAACAAGCCTGATGCTTTTTGGAAACAAGTCCTGTGGAGTGATGAAGTTAAAATATAACTTTTTGGACTGTTAAACATAGAGGTGGTTTGATTATGCTTTGGGCCTGTGTTGCAGCCAGTGGCACGGGAAACATTTCACAGATAAAGGAAAGAATGGATTCTATTAAAGTCCAGCAAATTCTGGAAGCAAACATCACACCATCTGTAAAAAAGCTGAAGATGAAGACAGGATAGCTTCTATAGCAGGACAATGATCCTAAACACATCTTGAAATTCACAATGGACTACCTCAAAAGGAGCAAGCTGAAGGTTTTGCCATGGCCCTCACAATCCCCTGACCTAAACATCATTAAAAATCTGTAGGTAGGACTAAAAAGAGCAGTCTATTTAAGACGGCCCAAGAATCTCACAGAGCTAGAAGGCTTTGCAATGAAGATTAGGTGAAAACTCCCCAAACAAGAGTTAAAAGACTCTGAGCTGGCTACAAAAAGCTTTATAAGTTATGATACTTGCCAAAGGGGGTGTTACTAAGTAGTGACCATGCAGTGTGCCCAAACTTTTGCTTTAGGCCCTTTTCTTTTTTTTGTTATTTTGACACCTTGAAAGAATGAAATAAAAAGTAATCTTGCTTAAAATGAAAAAAAGAAATGTGTCATCCTTAACATTTTGCCTTTTGGAAGTCAGTTCATCTTCTACTTAGTTAACTGCTCATGTTGCACCCTCAATATAAACCGTCCAAAAAATGTCGATCTTCTTGATGCAACTTTTATTAACAAAATCCCTCAGTTCAGCACAAGCACATTTTGCTTCAGCCTGCATACAGCACATCTCCCAGACTCTCCCTCTTAAAGCTACAGCGCTCTCTTCCAGTGGTGATTGCTCTAAGACTGCAAGGGAAGCTCAGCTTCCCTAAAATGTCAAAAAAATAAGTGGTCAAATATGTACTGTTGTGTTTACATTTCATTGACTAAATATGCGCTAGAATGCGTTCAACTTTTGTTCAGAATCAGCTACTTATCACAGGTCACTGACGCGACTTTCTTCTCATTCATTCCCGTAGCGTCACAGTGTATTAAACAGCGGAAGCTCAGCATCCAGAGACTTCAGTGGGGAGGCCTAGAGTGGGTTGTTCCACTGCAGCGAAACTAGACAGTCATTGGATAAATGCTCGGTTTTGTCCCGCCCATTGCATGCTCAGCGTCTCTGGGGGTCTATGGGGCAGTGGGCTGGCCTCGGCTGGCCTGTATGCTGGGCTTCTGCATGATGATTGGATGATCTGTCTGAGGCTGAATCCCTTTTTGATTGACAGCGAAATGAGCGAATCAGCGATCTTGAAATATAAACCACCACCGGAGCATTTTTCAAGTTTCATTCCGTTGTTCCGATCTGGAGACTTTTCCAATCCTCTTAGTGACTTTTTCTTTGTTAAAAACGACTAGCGACAAATCTAGCATCTTTTTCTGGTGTTATTGGAGACTGTACTCGTGTTTGGAGACTCTGACTTCTGTCGCTCTGCAGTTACTGTCCCCAACGGGCAGCGGGTGCTGCTGTGAGCCCCTCCACTGTCCCAAAGCACTCACAGGCGGTCACACTAGCCTCGCGCAGCAGCCCCAGAGGGTAGAATTTACGTATAAATAAACGGACACATTTTATGATGTAGGCTGAAAATGAGCTTCCCCTTCTTGAAAGACCAGCAGCCACCACTGCTCTCTTCTAAAGGGTAAGTACAACAATTTCCATTCCTTCACAACAGGTAAGTATACCTGTAAGTAATGTTTTTAACCATTGTAATAATAAAAATATGAATTAACCAAAACACTTATTTAAATGAAATGTTTTTACCTTCACACACTGATATAAAATCAGTAAGAAACAAATGAAATAAGTGAAATATGTTTCAGGGCGCTACATCCACAGTAAACTAAATTATGACCAGGGTGTCCCCAGACGTTTGCATGCAACTGTATATTTCAATGAAGGCATGCAAGAAAAACAAGGTTTTCTTCCTGAATTCAAACTAACACGGTATGACTAATTGATACACAAATGGTCATTTTGTGGGTGACGTACTCCTTTAAGTTTATTTTTGCTATTGATTCATTTATAGTTTGATTTTGGTATCATAATTCAACTTAAAACTCATTCAGCCTAAGGCGCAAACAAGTGTTTTTCCCCTGTGGAGGGGCATACTGTCTGTACAAGGCTTATATGACAGGTCTGATCCAATCAAGAATTTTGTTTCTTGTACCTGAGAGAAAATGGTAAGTGCTGCAACTTCTTCTTAATAAGTTGTACATGCCTCCTAATAATGAATCTGTTTATAGGGTGGTTTCTGCACGAGGACTTATGTTTGAGATTGTCTTCAATTTTACGGCAACATGCACAGACTTTTTTTAAAGCAGTAGATGAGTTTAACTTTATGTCCTTATGCTCCAAAGAAGAAGAAGACACTAAGAAATGACCTCAAATCCCTCTTCATTGTTTTAAAATTAATGTCGATTTGACAACTGTCATTAGTGGAAATCAGCATTTTAATCTGGTTTTCAAATGAGCAATACAACAGATACAAGCTTAAATCACCACATTTCTCATCACTGATCAGATCTGTTACATCATATCAAGTATAAACAAATACACTGAAAGTAAAGATTTGAAATCTCGCGATTTGAAAAGAGTTGTCTAAAGCAATGGTTCGCAACTGGTCCGGCCAGGGGGTCCAGATTTCTCCTTCGTCATTAGGTCAAGGTCCACACAATTAATTAATTTGGCGGCATCATATTTTCATTCGGCCATGTCACCAAGCTAGTTTGCTGTCTCTATTAAGTAGCTGTCAGTTATTCACTCACTCTACAGCAGGGAACAACACTTCTAAATAAAAGCTCTGAATGGGAAATTTGCTGTACTTCATGATAAAGTGTGTTTTATTTCAAACTTGAAACATTTAAGCATCTCTTGAGGTCCATTCAGAATGGACTTGTGACACACTTTTGGATAGCGACCCACCAGTTGGGAACCACTGGTCTATAACTTCAGTAACTGTGTTTTACTTTTGTCAGATCAAACATACAATAGTAGAAAAGCTTTAATGCACTGCAGCAGAAGATGGGAGACTTATGTCGATGACAGCACCCTGGTTTGTTGATTAAACACCACATCCTGCCACGTAGGAGCTCAGGTCACGGCCCTCGCAGTGAAGGCGCCAGGCCACCCTGAAACCAGACAGAGGAACATCACCCATGTCTAAACATGTGCAGGTTGGTGCAGTAAACACATCACAGTCATTATGATCAGATCTTACCAGGCTCTGATGCCGTTGGGATCCCTAACGACACGTTTGGCACAATTGATCGCCTTGCTGACATCATCAGTCAGAAGCTCTGTCAAACAAAAAAAAATCTGGAATTAATGGCAATTTTGAAACTGGACATGGAGGGGGGGGGGGGGGGGGGGGGGGGGGGGGGGGGGGGGGGGGGCATGGCCTCCTGATACAATTGCTGTTCGTCACTAGCCTCTCCTGGCAAAATTAACTGGAGGCTGTGGCATGCTTTATTTAAGTTAGTGTGCAGGTAGTTGTATGTTGTGAAGCAACCTAAGGCATTAATTGGTACCAATCATATACATCACTGTGTAACTGGATCTTGGACTTTTTGACTAGCAGACCCCAGTCTGTCTGGATCAACAAAATCATATCCTCATCCATCACCCTCAACACTGGCTCCCCCCAGGGCTGCGTCCTCAGCTCGCTGCTCTACAAACTGTTCACCCACGACTGCAGAGCTCCCTATGATAGCAACCTCATAGTGAAGTTCGCTGATGACACAGCAGTGGTGGGGCTCATCACCAACGAGGACGAGATGGCATACAGGCAGGAGGTAGAGGGTCTGGGACTGTGGTGCAAGGAGAACAACCTCATCCTCAACATCAATAAAACCAAGGAGATGATCGTGGACTTTCGGAAGTCTGGCACTGTACCCCCTCCTCTCTACATTGACGGCGTAGCTGTGGAGATGGTTCCCAGCCTGAAATACATTGGGGTTCACCTCTCCAACACCCTCACCTGGCGTTACAACACCTGCAGCATCATCAAAAAGGCTCATCAATGCCTGTACTTCTTGAGGAAGCTGAAGAGGGCAGGACTGAACTCCAACATCCTCAGCTCCTTCTACAGGTGTGCGGTGGAGAGCGGTGCGGACTGTTTTCCCCCCTTCCCCTCAGGCAGGAGGCTGTGCAGCATCAGGGCAAGGACCGCCAGGCTGAAGAACAGCTTTTTCCCTGATGCTGTGAGACTATTGAACTGTTTCACATTGCCGCACCTCTGAATTACAGACTTTTTAAAGACTGTACCTTAAGTTGTTGCACTTTTCTGTATGCTGCTACTGCCACAATGCTGCAGAACTTGCTTACTTATTTATTTATTTACTGATACTGACTTAAAGTGTTTTTATTTATCTTTTTTTATATCTCTTAGGTTATCATTTATTAGTATTTATTTATTTATTTATTTTTAATCATAGTACTGAGACCTGAGTACTGTATTTCGTTCCTTCATGTTCCTTGATGGTGTGAATGACAATAAAGGTCTATTTATCTATCTATCTATCTATCTATCTATCTATTAGCATAACTTGGCGGTAACAGGGCTCAATAATTTAGGCCAAATTTTGGTGAGAGAACAACTGGCATGGCCAATTATCAAAAGGGTTCCTTCAACCCTCACCTCAAGATATCTTAATGAAAATGGGTTCCATGGGTACCCACAAGCCATGACCAAACTTTCCACCGAGCAGTACAGTACGGTACGGTTCAGTTCGGTACGCTTTTTTTCTGTTTCCACTGTGAAAAAGTTGTGAATGATGCCAATGGAGCCATTCTGTACTGTTACCATTTTTGGTACCCCTTCTGTTGGGGTAGCTAGCACACAGATTTGGTACTAAAAGGTGGAGCTGTGAAAACTGCAGTCCATTGATTGGTCAGTAGCGGACGGTCACTCTGCTCAGTGAGCTCATGGAGAGTTTCATTAGTAGACTGTAACTATTAAATATAAGCAGCAGCCAGAGTCGGAGAAAAATGTAACTTAATTCACTGGGCCGACTGCAGGGATTTTAAGGTGGAACATTAGTTAGTCAGTGCACGAGCTGATGACGTGACTCAATAAACACACCTTAAATACTCTACTTGACAACCTTGACCATTACTTTTTATACTTTTATATGACATACACTTTTAGTAATGAGTGGATCTTCAAGCGTTAATACTGTATCTATAAATTTCAGCCGGATTATATATTCTAATCCTCACTCGGAGAAAAAAAAAAAGGTCACATAGTGTCAGGCTACGGCAACACTAAACTCCTGTGCTTGCCTAAGAAGGACTAAGTGCACAAACCCGCTATTTTTAAATATACCACGGAGAGAGACTCTCACTGCAGCCTGTTTTATTTTGTTCTGAAAATGTTGGCATGCATCCTTGGTTCTATGGACGATAAATGAGGTGCAGACTTCCAACGGTGTCAGCGATAATGAGGAAATACAGTAAGTGCTGGACGGAGTAGGGGGTGACAACAACCCCCTGCCCACATTTAAGAACGTGAACGTTTGCAGTGGAAATGCTAGAGTCTAGGTACCATGTCTGAAGAGTACTTTTGGTTCCAAAGTTACCATACCGAAAGTGTTTGGTGGAAACGGGGATTTTGTGTTCACAGTAAATGTTACAACCAATGTACTCCTTATATTCATATTGCTGTGTATTTGTCTGTTTAAGGAAAAGGACAACCAGCCTAAATGAAGAACAATTTATCAAATTTCTGAGGGTGCCGTTGAAAACACGCCAAGTTATAAAATAGGATGAAAATGTCCATGTATAGTTAAAGTTTTGGGTGTGGGGGCTCATCACTGACTGCTGCAACTGATGCTGCATGCGTTCACTGAGCGAGAAGTGTGGCCGTCCTCACACCACCAGCGGCTGTTGATCTGGAAGATGCCGTAGTCAGTTGATCCATCTCGGTTATGGTTGGTGACTGTGGTGCTGTAACCCGACTCCCACTGGCTCAGACAAACCCCTGCAGAGGAAACAGAACAGACGCATATACAATGTAGACACCCTAAAAGACTGATGTTGGACAATGAGACCTACAGACGCTCCCTGTCTGGAAGGTCTACGCCTCTATCCTCTATCCTTGATCACTTGACCTGGAAATCGACTGAGACTTGCCATCTTGTAGGACATCTCAATTTCAGAGGAGTCGAGGAAACGAGGAGGCTTTCAGAGCAGAGGGAAACGATGATACATGAGCGCAGCCTTCGCGGAAGTCTTTTTCCAAACGACAACTCCCTGATGGGATATCAGTTATTGATTTGACAGTGTAGCACTGCAGGCGGACTGTCCAGATACATCACAACATCACTGGAGTTAATACTATAGGGAAGACAGAAAACAGATTAAACCCAAGAGTATCACTCCCAAGTTTTATATTTTATTTGTTTTCTGATTCACCATCTAGTTTAAAATCTGAACAAGAAAAGGAAACAAACGTTCTTCATTTATTAGAAAGACTTTAATCTCATGATCTGTTATTTCCTTCATCAACTTGTATTATGAATACAATCAAAGTCAGAGAGTCTGTCTGTCAGCAAGAAACACTTTTTACATCACTGACCCTCATTTTCATTCAGTCATACTGAGGCTGGTCAGTCCTGAGCGTCGGGTTGATGAGTTACAGAATTTAGATTTTCCCTGAAACATTTGGCCTAATAAATCATTTCCAGTATTCAAAAGACACCATAACTATATTCTGGGCAATTAAATAATAAATTTACAATCAGAATATCAATAAATATAGATGCAAATAATGAAAAGGCCTGAATCATATAAACACATTATGTAACTCTGAGCACGACACAGCATATTATATATACAGAACGCAGATGGCTGTTCATGTGCAGGTGTTTCTTAGACAGAGAGAAAACATTGCTGGTCTGCTTCTAATAACTGTATCTGTATATTTATCATTATATATATATATGTGTATATAAATAACAGTATGTGTGTGCAGACACAAACTCCATCAAAAGTTTCTATACCTGTTAATAAGGCCTCCTGACAGCTGATCCAGCTGTGATAAGCTGCTGCCATCATTAGAAACGGACGTCACTTCAGCTGACGCTTTAGAGGAAAAGACGTCACATCTCTCCCCGTCTCCTATGAGGGCGGAGATAAGATGCGAGGAAGGGGACGCAAGTGAGGGAAACGTGTGTCTTGAGTGGGACCAGTAATTTCCTGCAGTCTCCACTGGTTGCCCTGAAATGGTTCCTAACCCAGCAAGCTGTTTCCTCATATGCCCAGTGTTTGTGCAATGTTAAGTTACAGTACAACCTAAAAAGAATGTTATCTCATCTGAATCTCAGCAAACATATTTCCTAAATTGACTCGAAGAGCTACTTAATCTTATGATCACATTAAATGAGATAATATTAATATGCAGCAAAAGCTGATGCAAATCTGAAGTTCACTGTAATTGATTAAACTGTTTAAACAAGAGTCTGCTATTTCTATGCTGTATCAAAATGAATGGAAACCAATGGCAATCTTTAAAGGTGAAAAGAATAGACTGAAATTTCTAACATTACATTACTTTGGTATGGCAAGCTTTTCAAATTTGTAGCATATGTTTATGTGTAAAAACATATATATAGTAAGGTGGCTGGTACGGTCCTTAAAACTGATGTTATGTTGCACAGTAATCATAAAAATGCTTGTAAATAATATTTTCTGCTCCAGACACAGTATCTGCAGACTGACAGGCTCATACTCACAGTCTGCTAGGCTGTTGCCACGGAAGCCGTCCATCCCATTAGCTTTAAGCAGTCGGGCCCATTCACAGCGCTCGTAGACTTTAGCGCTGGCCAAAGCCACCAAGAGCAGGAACACCAGACCCCTCATAATGGACTCTAGGCTGGACTGAATGTTTCCACTGCTGCTGCTAAATGTCTTTTTATACGAAAAGCTCATCTGGATTCCTGCTTCTGCTTCTGCTTCTGCTTTATTTTACATTAACTTCTTGTTTTCTTTGCATTTCAAAACTCCATTGTTTCATTTGACTCTTGTCCAACTTCAACAAAGCTGATGAAATAAGTGGAATTTCCCCTTTCACTCAATTTGAAACTGTTTTTTTGGGTTTGAACTTTGAGCACTTTGTTTTCAGACGGAGTGTGTTATCAGTGTGATAAGAAAGACTAATGTAAAGGACAAAGACAAGGTGAAGTCCAGGCTAAGTTTTGGCACAAATTTATCTGCAAATGAACATTAGACACTTGTGTGGCAGCCATTACACATTATTCTTGGTCCAAGTGACTTGAAGACCTAGCAGATAGAGATAACAGATCAACTTTACTAAAACCAAGCACACAAATAAAGGAAGGCATACTTAACTGGGCTGGGAACAGACAAAAAGGCAGGAGTCCATATATGAGCAGGTATCAGGCAAGTGGCTGGAACACTTAGTGAAGAATACATGCACAGATTCTATCAAATGTACTGTACTGTGGCCTTTGTTCTGTTATAATTGTTTTATCTTAGCTTGTTTTTATTTTATTGTATATTTATTTTTTACCCTCCTTCATACAACAGCACATACATGTAAAACTCACCATCACCCATGCTATAATGCTCAGTATTAAGCCTGCATAACAACCACAGAAAATACAGGCTGCATTATCATCTCTAAGTCCTAATTCTTACAAGTTTCAACTTACTCTTTTTTGGCACCAAAATAGTGCCTAATGTCACCTCCTTTCCTCTTGCTCATGTTGGCTCTGTAAATGAAATCTAATCTGAGTTCAATAAAGTAGTCATACATTTGAACTAATACAATTAATCAGCTTTCAGTACACATGGATTTTAGTTGTTGAGCTACCCAACCAGATTAAACTCCTGCATACCTGAGTGAAAACTACTGTAAGGGGGTGCCTATTATAAAAGCTAATATCAAAAAGGCAAAATCCTGACCAAACCACCACACAAAAGACTATTAAAATTAAATAATATACTCTATATTCCGTGGTGGAAAGTAACTGAATACATTTACTAAAGTATTGTACTTAAGTACAATTTTAAGGTACTTATACTTTGAGTATTTCCATTTTATGTAACTTTATACTTCTACTCCACTACATTTCAGAGGGGAATATTGTACTTTCTACTCCATTACATTTATTTGACAGCTTTATATTACTTCAATAATCTTATAAACAAGTCTTTATTGTTAAAGATTACACCAATGGGCCCCAAACTGTTTGGCTTGTGGGCCTTTACAAAAAAAAAAAAGCTGTGTATTTGTCTCTGTCAAAACTGTTTGCAGCCAAAACAGGTAAAACTCATATTCAATATTTCACAAGGGTAGGATTTTAAATTCAGGACTTTTACTTGTTAGTGGTGTTGTTTACTTAAGTAAAGGATCTGAGTACTTCTTCCACCACTGTCTATAACTTACTGATGTCAAAACGTAGTGTTATCTCTAGGCTACAACTAGCTAACGTTAATCCATTGTCTCACTGCTTGACTGAGCACCAGTGTAAGCTAACATTCACATAATATATGACATCTTACATTGAAATGCCAAGCCATAGACACACGTTAGCATTTATCTAGACACCTGACACAATATAATTATGAAACTCTGAAAGTGAGAAAGTAAAGTTTATTAAACTAGCTAGATAGCTACCTACATTAATTTACAGCATTGTGTAAATGCGGCGCAAAGTCTTTTTTTTTTTTTTGGATGCACTGACTCCCCCCCTCCTAAAAACTTGGATGTGAGCCAGCCAGTGCACTGATTGGAGTGATGCAGGCAGACAAGACCTTCGCCTAGATGAAATGGTATAGTCCACTTTAGGGGTGTCTGAAATTGTACTACAAGCTTCGTCCTGGCATGAATATGGAAAATACTGTATACTGAAATATTCATGATTACTGATAAGAAAGATAAATCTTTCAACCCCCCCAATCTGTTATTTTTACCTCTTTTAGGGGGGATGAGGTCGTAATTGGGGGGAGTCGATTGGGATCTAGTTGACAGTTTGAGGACGGCAGATCTGGAGAGTGAGAGGAGAATATGTGGCCTGAGAGAAGTGAGCAGGAGCTGGAGACAGGGACAGAGAGCCAGGCCAGGCAAAACAAACCAACAGCTAGAAAGTCCTCAGGAGGAGTTTCTCGGAAACAAACAAAGTAACTTTTACTTTCAGTACTTCTCAACAAAGGTGAGATGCTGCAGGTCACGCCTCACAACACCCCTTCGCTATACTAAAATCAATGTAAATCACAGCCCCTCATAGGCTATTTACCATGATAGAAGATTTTGGCCATATCACCTGTCCCCTTCTACTAATTTTTTGAGTTATATTTTCACATTGCTTACGGCCATACCACCCTGAGTGCACCTGATCTTGTCCAGTCTCAGAGGATAGGCAGGGTCAGGCCAGATCAGCACTTAGATGGGAAACCGCCTGGGAATAAGCTTCTGTAAGCTTGAAGCAGCTGCGGCTCAGGAGGGACAGCGGGTTATCCACTAATCAGAAGACTGGATCCACGGCTTCTCCAGTCTGCATGTCTAAATAAACTTAGGCAAGATACTGAACCCACAAATTGCTCTAAGTGGCTGTTGCATCGGTGTATGAGTGAGTATAAGCTGAGGAGGAGGTGATACCTTATATGGTAGCCAGGGCCACCATTATGTGTGTGAATGGGTGAATGTAACATGTAGTGCAGATCCATTTACAATACTTGTTTTTTTTCCCACCTATCCCACTAAGTTGTTATGTTGCTATGCTAAACCAGGCTTGTGAAACCTCGTTAGATATGGATGCAAGCCCGTAACTTAGTGCCTCTCCCTACGTACTGCATTAGACATGTGAAATGTACCCTGGACTTCCCTGTGTGACCTTTCCTATCTGAATGAGTTGTGTGTGGTTGACTCACTGCCAGGCAACTGCTCTTGCTCCTTGTGACCAGCTCGCTCAGACTGGGCAACTCCGCTGGACACTCCTTGGGTGCAGTTCCGTCAGTCCAGTCGGCCACCTTGCTCTTCGTGGTTGTTCAGAGTAAAAGTGTATTGACATGGATAATTGGTTGTGGCATGTCAAACACTTTTTGTCTTTAGATTGTCTTGCCTCCAGCATCATCCTTGGGGCGTGCCGGTTCAGCTCAAAGGCCTCTCCAGCTCTCTCCCACAGTGCGGCTAATAGCGGTTAATGAGTCAGTGCTACCAACCCCCAAATGTAACATCAGCGCTGACCCTGACTCCTCCAACCTGCCTAAACCACACACACATCTACAAAACATTCATTAAACTACCGATGAATCTATCATAACATACTTGGTCCGACCTTGGGTCTTACTTTTACCCTTGGTTGGAATCATGAGACCATGTGAATGCATTTCTTCCCCTTATGTGGCTTCAGTTGCCTGAGATGCACACAACTCAGTACAAAACACCGTTCATGTATGTTGAGTTTTGCCTTTTTCACTTTGCTGTATTCATTTTTGTGGTATTCATCCCAATGTCTATACAGCTTTTAATGCAATCAAGGCTGTTTATAATAAACAGGTGGTGAATGATACTTAGGCTTCATCAGCAGTCTCCAGTTCGAGAGAGGTGCAGTGAGTAAGTCATTTCATTAAGGGGAGTTTCCAGTTTTGCTGATTACATTTGCTGATTGATTTTTTAGTATTCCAACTTTAATCTGTATAGCACCATTTTAATGTTCTATGTAGATGAGGCTGAACTAGTTTCACCTATTTTTATCCCCACTGGCAGTGTGGCTCTAGGGATGGCAATGCCTGTCTGTCTGTTGCTTGGTCCACCATTTTTGTCCACACAGAAATATCGTACATTCGTGTTCCCCAGAGGATGGATTGTGATAAATTCTGGTAAGTGACCCCTTAACTTTCATCTAAGGCCATCACCACATCAGTATATTCGTCCATAGTTTGTGCCCAATTTGCAAAACTAAAGACATTCCCATCAGCCTCAGCTGTACTTCATGTTTAGTGCCAATGGTACAACGTATTTTGATCAAAGCTGCTGTTAAAAGGGAAACCACAGTGACTCAGACTGATACTGAGACAAAAGTGAAAGCTTCCCTATTTCATGATCTTTGCTCAAACTGGCCAACAGTCAAAAACAAACCACATACTTATTGACTATGAAAAAACATACAAGGCATTTCTTGTAAACTATGTCTGCAGAACAGGAACCTCTGTTTTACCTCAAGTTGTGCACAGTTATCACTCAGTCTCTTTATGTGTTTCTGATCAGTTCTATGGCATCAGGCCATGTCAGTCTGAGACTGCACAGATAGTTAGGCTATTAGCAGAAATGAAATTATTGTTGCTTTGGGTCTATTTGGGGGAATTTATTGTAATATTAAAAATAATCCAACCTTTTCCATTAATATCCCTTTAATGGAGCATTTATTCTAAAAATCTCCCCTCAGACTCACACCAGAAAAATATAAAATACTTGAACTGATTGTGTAGAAACTGCAATGATTTTGTATTTGAGAGAAGTTTTGATTTTTGCCATTAGAGGAACTGCGGATTTATGAGGAAGTTTGTCATCTGATTCACCTGATGTAGACTATAAGTCTGCCAACAGCTGACTATTTAGGCTGGCATTCCCCCTCCCTTCTGCTATCTGCATGTAACTATTTTCAAAATCCCCTTCGCTGGGAAACAATAACAACAACCTCTGAGCTGTCACGTTACGCACTAAAAATGGCAAATTTTGATGAGGATTTGGATAGTGCAATAAGACATGCCTTCTTTGTTCTTTGGGTGAATTGTTGTAAAGATCTTTGTGAACACATCTCGGAAAAGCCCAGACTTTGTGTTGCAGGACTCTGATGCGTGATGTTTATCTGTTTTCTGACACAGCCAGTGGGAGTTGATTTGCCACATCTTTTTGAAACATCTCCAGTCAAACAATACCTGAATACAATCCTTTTTGCACTGGGGGTCTGATCTTGGACCATGCCGACTCCCAACAAACTTTTTG